CAAAAATGCCATTGCTCAGGCTACCCTTTTGAGACACCCTATTCCCGGAGCCCAGCTAAGCATCTGGGTAGATGCCTCAGACGTCGCAATCGGCGGCACACTTATGCAGTTGTCTCAACAAACATGGGAACCTATAGCATTTTTCTCTATGAAACTCAGTAAAAGTCAACAGAAATGGTCCGCGTACGATAGGGAATTATTTTCTATTTATTCTGCAATTAAGAAATTCCGACACATGTTAGAGGGCAGAAATTTTATAATTTATACGGATCAAAAACCGTTAATATACGCTTTTAAACAGAACCCTCATAAATGTTCACCTCGACAATTGCGACATTTAGATTTTATTTCTGAGTACTCTACTGATATTAGGCATGTGCAAGGTTCAAAAAACATCGTTGCTGACGCTCTTTCAAGAATCGAAATTGATTCCATAACAAAATCTCCATTTTTGGATTTTAAAAAATTTTCGGAAGCTCAACGGCATGATCCGGAGGTACAAGACCTTCTCAAAAACAACACATCATCTTTGAAACTGGAATTTAAACCGTGCCAATATTCTGATGGTAATATTCTTTGTGACATATCAACAGACATTCCTCGTCCATTTGTTCCGAATTCCTTTCGCAGACTCATCTTTAACCATCTGCATAATCTGTCACATCCAGGAATTGCAGCTACTACGAAGCTTATTTGTTCTCGTTATGTATGGCCCGATATGAAACGTCATATCAAAAATTGGGTGAAATCCTGTGAATCTTGCCAAAAATCGAAAATTACTAGGCATACTAAAGCACCACTGGGCACATTCTCTCTTCCTGATGCACGTTTTTCAGAAATCCATATGGATATCATCGGACCGTTACTTCCATCAGAAGGCAATGTGTACCTTTTGACTCTAATAGATAGATTCTCCAGAATGCCTGAAGCCATTCCCATCCCGGATATGAAAACGGAAACCATTTGCAGAGCCATCTTCAACTGTTGGATATCTCGTTTTGGCTGCCCATCGATCATAACAACAGACCAAGGTTCTCAAATGAGATCCGCACTTTTTGCAGAATTCACGCGCATTTTGGGTACGAACAGAATCACAACAACAGCCCTATCATCCAATGTCAAACGGCATTGTTGAACGATTTCATCGACATTTTAAAATCTTCTCTCAAGGCTCACGAGACCAATAACTGGACTGAAACACTACCAGTTGTTATGCTTGGTATTCGGACAGCCGTAAAGGAAGATCTACAGTCATCTTGTGCTGAACTGGTGTACGGCACAACTCTCAAGCTGCCTAGTGATATGATAACGTCATCTAAGATATCTCCGTATGACACACAATTTATCACGAATCTTAGGCATAGAATGCAACAGTTGAATCCAATAGCAACATCTGCACATTGCCAAGAAAAATGTTACGTAAGTGCTACCTTAAAGTCGTGTACGCATGTATACTTACGTGTCGATCGAGTAAAGCCACCTCTGTGCCAACCATACACAGGTCCGCATAAAGTCCTTTCTAGAACGGACAAAACTTTCACAATAGATGTTAACGGTCTGAAATCTACTGTGTCTATAGACCGTGTGAAACCAGCCTATTTGCTTTCGGACTCTAATTTGCCTGAACTGAAAACAAATAAAGACTTAAAGACAGTTCAGCAGAATAAATCTGCAAACGAACTCTCTAAGACACAAACTGTCACCAGATCAGGAAGACATGTTCACTTCCCTAAGAAACTTGCTTCTTACATAACAATTTAAACACTTTTTTAAAATTCATATCTTAACATATTTCTTGTTATTTCATGTTTATTATATGTGTCAATACCTTGTTATATATTGAATTGCATTTTGATCTTTTCTAATTTTATATTCTAATTTTGTAATCATAAAAAAAATACCCGACAGCACGGATACTCTGAGATAATTTCATAACCTATGTCGTTCCTTTGAATAGCCATTAAAGGAACTGGGGGGAAACTCTGTGGTGATGGCGATAAGGAGCGCGCCTTGCGCATTCCGATAAGTGTGGCAACCCTAGAGGAGAAGTTTCTTACGAGTAGCGAGCAGAGCGAAACAGGCAGGCTGTCGGGCAGTGTGCGCGAAGTTCCTAAATAAAGCTTAATTTTTATTGTGCACTATGTCTTGTTAATATTATATTAATGCAGTAAGAACATAATCTGTGATATGGAATTCGAGGATTGGTGGTAAAAACATAACCGGAAATTTCCATACTTCTCAAAGGAATTCTTCTCATAGGAAGATTATCTGAACATTTAAAAACTATATTCTGCTTTTAGGGGCCTAATATTTTATGCCCCTAAAATTAATATTGAAATTTCTAAAATGTTGAAAAATATCTCATCTGGATTCTGTACAAAAAATATAATCCCTTTTTCATTTCTGCATTTTCTTTATTCCTACATTTTTTAATTGGAAGGAATTTCATTCGCAGAGCCCTCTAATTTATTCTTACAAATCATGTAGTAATGTACCATTTTAGATAGATATAAATAACACATTTTGTAATTTTCTAAACTGTGGTTATACAGCATGATATAATAGCCTCACCAGGATATGGCGAAACAGTATACAGCAATATCTGTCGCACTGTCTGAGATGGGTGGTAGTCATACATAGCTTAATGCTTAAATTTGTTATGTGTTATTTATTTATTCATGTTTTTTTTTTTTTTTTTTTTTTTTTTTTAATTATGTTATAGCAGTTTATTTCTTTCATTCTTAGGTCCGGAAGTGAAAAATTTGACTTTTCTACGCCAGAAGTTACAGCTAATGTTCCTAAGATAAAACCAGGCTTTCCTGAGGTAAGTTGGTTTATTTTTAAAATAGAATTAGCTGCTGTGCATGATATTACAGTTACTTAATTATGGTTAACTAATTATGTATTAATTTAGAAGTCAAGCAACCAACATCAGCATTATATTTTCAAATAGTGAATATTTCAAAATATGATGCTGATTTTTGTTGCTTGACTCTCAAATTAATACTTGGTCGGTGTGTTATTGTATCTTAATTAAACTAATTATGGTTCTTTTCTTCTCAGTTCTGATCTGGACATTTCAGTTATTGACTCTGATGTAGAAGGTAGAAATACAAGCTCTCTTTTGGGGTAAATATGTATTTCTCTATGCCAAAATTAAAATGTCATCATTTATGTTTTTCTTTTATGGTGTTACATTATGTGGTTTACATACTGATAGCTATTAAAACTGTTATATGTAATATTATAGCTATCAAATAGAGGGGGATGAATTTCATTTGTACCAAATTTGGACGACTTTTTGCATGAAAGAACTTGTAAATAATATGCAGCCCATATAAAATCATGTGTAAAGATTTTTTTAAAAATATATTCATTGAAATCAGTGAAATTTTCAGACGGGACACTGAAGCAAATGAAAATATTTTGGGGTTTGATTCTTTTGATGGGAGCCTCATCAATAAGCCTACTATCTTTTTTAAATATTGCTTCTTTTTCATTGTTTTCATGATGTTTTATGTTCCCTTCATGAAAGAGATTTTTAATAATTTAAATTTTGTTAATAAAAATATAACAAAATGAAATCTGTGATTATGTGGCTATTTTTTTCCATATATATTTATTTGAGGAAAACCAAAAATTTTATTATTTTACAGAATTTTTAAGAAAAATATAAGGATAAAATTTTTTAAATAATTCTGATTACTACCTTTGCTTTCCTCTCGTAATGTGCCTCAAATTAGAGCAATTAGACAACAAATTTAAGTCATGTGATCTTTTTTTTTTTTTTCCAAGTTTTTTTTTTTAGGCTTAGGAGTATAAATTGCTTATCCCCACAAGACAGTGCATCTTCTTAGTATGCCATCCTAAGGCTCCGTTCACATGATGGTATAAATGTCATAGACGCATAATCATAAGGCACAAAATGTGGGAGTTCCATTCACACCTGCGAGAGAGGGTCTAAGCCATAGCCAATTAGAGAAGCTAAATTTGTGCATGCATGTATGTGTCTACAGCTTTCTCTCTCAATAGGTTTTATGTATATGCTCTGAATGGCCGACTCTTATATCAAGTCGGCACAAAGTTGAAAACTTCAAGCTTAATGCCCAAACTAGTTTTTGTGACATAGCAAGGTCTGACTACAAAGCATTGTTAGTTGGGAATTATGACATTTATACAACGGCTTGAATAGAGCCTTAGAAAGCCATTTGGTAACTGAGTTATCCACCATGAAAGAGTTATTCTTGCCCCTCTGAATTCAGTGTTTACTGGAACACGAACATTTTATACTCAGGTGTAGAGGCCCTTCATGTGAAACCTCCGGCACACAAAGTACTGACTAATATTGCACAAGCAAATGACACTGCGAACATGGAAGCAGCAGTTATGAAGATGACTCATCTTCTTGTAGTAATATATACTGGTAATCCAGTGTATTATTATTGTTAATTTATTTGCTATCTGTTGCCTAAATTTCCTAAACCTAATTGCGAATGGGCTGCCTGCATGGGCGTTTTCATGGTTTTCCCTTGTGTAACGTGTATATGAGCCATTTTTCCCTTAGAAAGTCCTCCATGAAAGCATTCCTCCTCTTAGGAAGATCAAGTGCTTTGCTGTCATAAACCAAATTTAAGCCAAATTGCCTAAACCTAATTTGTAATATTTATATATATTAATTATATATATGTATATATTGTGTGTATATATATATATATTAATTAGCTTGGAGTCTGAGCCTCTTCAGGAGAACCTTAATGATGATTTCTTTGTGTCCTGATTCACCTTTAATTATCGAAAGGGAAGATTCGACGAAAGGCAAATCCATTACCATCTGGCAGAACAATTTGCAATATGTCTTTTGTAATAAGTGCAGGCTAGGACATTAGAGCAACATTCCCTAAATTGTAAATTTGGAGGATCATTTATTTTTAACAAAGTGATTCGACGTGGTCTTGTCCACTACATATAACTATGTATGTGATAAAATTTTATGTGGGGAAATGGCAACAATTTGTTCTGATATGGAGAAAAGCAGCCTAAATCAAGCTTGCAGTATTAGGTGCGTTATCTACTGGCAGTGGATTTTCACAAGAGGAGGAAAAAAGTTTAGCATCATGGAAATTCCGTATATGAGCAACTCGACCTTTGCTTCTTGTGAGCGAACTACTGGCAAAATAATACAGGGATGTGCACAGGAAACTATGTGTGCTGCTATAGAAGAGGAGAAAAGGCAGGCAGAACTTCGCAATGATAAAGATAATGATGGTTATCACTGTATAACTGTCATTGTTGATGGAGGTTGGTGTAAAAGAAGGCATGGCAAGCTATGGGCATGGTTACAATGCTTCAAGTGGACATATCTGTATATAATAGGCATGGTCAACCAGAAAATTTTTGTTTGTTGGAATTCGCAACAAAGTGTGCCTTATATGCAGTGCTATTGAAGATGGCAAGATGCCAAATAAAGTGCACCTTTGTTGGCGAAATTGGAATGGGCCTTCTACAGGTATGGAAAGCATTGCCATTGTGGAAAGGTCTGAATTATCTCCAGTGTGTTCAATAAAATACTTTGTACTCCACTTGTTCGACATGGAGATGCTAACACAATAGCCAAAGTAAAAGAAAGCGTTTCATATGGAGGACGGGTGATAAGAGTAGAATGTGCTAACCATGCTGTCCGAAGATATCGCAGAGCTCTTGAGAAACTTCAGCAAAATACTGCGCGCTTATCCCGTAAATTGCTGAAAATTTAAATGTCACTATTAGTCAGGGGTGCTAGAATAGCTATAAAAGCTCATGCTTTACCTAGCCATCATCAGCACACACAAGAAGCTATTGATGTATTAGTATCTGATCTGTGAAATGGGCCATATTATGTATTTGGCAAGCATGATGCTTGCAGTGCTTTTTCTGCAAAGAAAAGTGCAGAGTTGGACAGCACATACAATGAAATATTTTCCTCAGGTATGTTGCAAGTTATTGAAGCGGAAGTGAGAAGAGTACTCATATCCTGTAGCAGTACTCTTATTTGGAATGCCACAAATAATCCTACTGAATGCTTCATTAGTCAGCTGTGTAAAACATCTGGTGGAAAAAAGAGTTGATTTTTCCAAAGCTGGTGGCATAAACAGGCGTGCGAGTATTACTGTCGTGGCTTATCAAAAATCCAGTATAGCAGTGGCAAAAAAATGCACAAAAGCTGTAACAGGAAGTAGCCCCAGGACTCCAACTTCTGGTTTTTGAAATTCTTAGCTTCCAGAAATAAGCGCCATGTAAAACGTCTTGAGAGACGTAGGACTTTTTGACACTGAGAAGAAAAAGAGAAATATGAGGAAAGCAGGACATATTCAGCAAGGTGGGGATATTTCTTATGGTGATTTTCCTGAGAAACCAGACCTATCAGATGAAGCATATGAATTGGCAGCTAAAAATTTTTTTATATCATCATTGAAGTTCCAAAAAAAGATTCTCTTGAGGCCGTAACACGTGGACAGTCATCATCTGAAAGATGGCGTCACGAAAGATCAAGAAGAATATCATCATCCTTTTTCAAAGATGTTGCTGATAGGCGTCCAACAACACTCAGTGCTGCTTTAGTGAAACGTATCATATATAATGATAACGTTTCAACTAAAGCATTAAAGTATGGCTTGGCTAACGAAGCAGTAGCCTTAAATCAATACAAGGAAAAGCACATGGGAAAAAACATCAGACGTTGTGGCCTTTTTATTGATCCTAAATATCCCTTTCTTTGTACTTCGCCAGATGGATTGATAGACGAAGATGGATTACTTGAAATAAAATGTCCTTATACATGGCCAGATTCTCAGCAGACTTGTCAGACTTTTTCAGCAAGCCTAATTCTGTTGGTCTTCGGATGGATGCTGATAATAATCTTATTTACCGAAAAGCCACAAATATTATTTTCAAATTCAAGGGCAGTTAGCCATAACAGAGAGGAATTGGTGTGATTTATATATATGGTGCAGAGAAGATGCAATCACATTAAGAATACCCGAAGACAAAACTTTCTGGATCAGTTTAGTTCCAAAACTCGAAAAATTTTACGTGAATTGTATTCTTCCTGAGCTTGTTGATCCAAGAGCACCAAGAAAAATGTCTCTTAGAGAACCGAAGTATATTGTTGATGCTAGAGCACAGAATGAGAAACAAAAACAGGCCACTGCTTCTGTAAAACAAACACAAGAAAAAAGAGAAATTGAAATTTCAGAAGCAGATAAAATTATTTCATCTCCTAGAAAGAATGCAGGAGAGAAAAGAATCAGGAAACCAAAAATTATTTTTGATTTGTAATCAGTAACAAGCCAAGCCAGCACACCGTAACATTTTCTACGTCTGAATAAAAAACTATGCCTGCAACAAAGCATTATGATTAAATCCATACCTAATTAGAATATTACCCCATTTCTCTAAAAAAATATGTTCAAAAAGTCTCTGCTTTCAGTAATAGATACGTCTGATCAATTCTGCCATAATTCTGTAATCAATACTTGAAGCTAGAATCTCCTGTGCTGCACTGCCATTGCATCTCTTTTCTGAATGTTTCATCATCCACTTCTCATTCTAATGTGAACATTTTCTGCACCACATGTTATATTTTGCAGTGTAAATAATGCGTGCAATCATATATATTTTGGTTTTAATCATCAGTAACTTTGGTAAAACTACATTTATGCAAAGAAGACTTCCATAAAGTCACAGTTTCTGTGAAAAAGAAAATAAGTTTGATGACCTCTGTCATAATTCAATAAATAATTTTTTAAAATAGCATCACCTGTGCTGCACTAACATTGGAAAAAATTAAAGTCATCTCTTTTCTGAATGTTTCCTCATGCACTTCTGTTTCTAAGTATTCTTGTGTGCTTTGATCCATAGCTGATAACTTGTTGAGAATATTTTCTGCACAACATGTTATACCTCTGAACTTAAATAATTGCGGTAAAGAAGTATTTTGGTTTGAATCATGTGTAACTCCAATAGAAGTCCATTTCTCCAAGGAAAACCTCCACAAAGTCACTGCTTCTGTAGAAAAATAAGCCTGATGAATTCTGACAATTCAGTAATCAATTTTTTGAAGATTACATCTTCTGTGCTGCACTGCTATTGCAGCAAATTAAAGTCATCTCGTTTCCGAATCCACTTCTGTTTCTAAGTATTCTTGTGTGCTTTGATCATAGCTGCTAACTTGTGAACATTTTCTTTTCTGCGCCACATGTTATACTTCGCTATGTAAACATACCTGTAATGATGTTTTTCGGTTTCAATCATCAGTAACTTCTGAATAACCACATATCTGTAAAGAAAACCTCCATAAAGTCACTGCCTCTGTAGAAAGCAAAACAAGTCTGATAAACTCTGCCATAATTCAGCAGTCATTTTTTGAAGATAGTCTCCTGTGCTGCACTGCCACTAATTATTAAAGATAGCATCATTTCTTTTGCCCTACCGTTGCAGAAAATGAAAATCTTTTCTTTTCTGAATTTGTTCTAGTACTCGTGGCCTGATATGCTTGTTCTCTAAACATTCCTGTATATTTTCTGTGCAGCTGCTAACTTTTTGTGAACATTTTCTCCACCATACTGTATACACCTGCTTGTAAACAGTGATAGCCATTAAGTGATGTACATCTACATATACTTAATTTGAATA